AGTAGGTGCCTTAGACCACTGAGCCATCTCTCCAGCCCCTCCTTGCTTTTTTTAATGCCTACATGTTGAATCATAAGCCAGAGACCATTTCTTGCTTTTAGTAATTGCCAATGTATTGCTCGTAAAATCAAGGCAGCTATAACATCCACCTTAGCAATTTTTGAGGATTTCAGAAGTACAGACAGTTTGGTAACATACATGTTTTCATAGTGGTCACTTTTTCTTTATAAAAAGAGAAAAATAACTACTTGGTGGAGTTAATAGTACTGGACACTGAACGTGCTAGATGAATGTTGCTGAGCAACATTCCAGCCCACAGGAAATCTTTTGAATGGTGTGTCTAAAAGATGAAAATCACCTTTTTACAAATGCTAGAGTCTCTTCTCATTTTTGCCCCTTTGGTTTACTTAATACTTGTTAGGCATACTTTTTTTTTTTTTTTTTTTTGGCAGAACTGGAGACTGAACTCAGGCCCTTGCGCTTGCCAGGGAAGCGCTTATTCCACTGAGCCATCTCCCCAGCCCCTGTTAGGCATACTTACAATATATGTTAACTAAAATCTGTTTTCATGTTATTAAAGTTTATAACCTGAGAATTTACGATTTTAAAGTATTTCTTATGTTTGATAGGGTTAGGTATTTAGATAATGTGTAAAGGGCTCGGAATACAGCTCAGCAACAAAGTGCTTGCCTGGAAAAAGTAAGGTCCTCAGTTTGATTCCTGGTACCAATAAATAAATAGCACTTAAATTATCAGCCATATGAAAACCATCTTAGAAATGACTATTTTACAACCTGGTTTCTTAAAGAATTACCAAATATTTATTAGAATGCTTTGTTCCAAAGACTAGAGATCACTAATGAGCTTAGGCTCCAGAGACTATCAAAGAGACACACTTTCCATTGTAGATGTTGTTCCCATTCATGTTAGTTTGTGACCTCCCTCTATTTTAGATCCCCAGCAACTTCAGTTATTGTTGGAAGTCTTCTTCATGATGCCCAATCCTTGCTGAGTCTTGCTTAGCCATAAAGAAAAACATAGTAACACTTTGTCTGGCTCCATTTTCTAAAGCAAGTAACTGGACATAATGAGTCTTGGAAAAAGCATAAGATAAGAAAAAGGATAGTAAGAAAACAATTTTTTGCTGGTATGATGTGTACCTTTTTATGGTCTAATTTGCATAAGAACTTTTCAGCCTATTCTCCATGAATCTTTGTATGACCAATACTCAATAATGTCTTTCTCTTTTTTTTGACACAGAGTTTTGCTAAGCAGTTCAGGCTGGCCTTGAACTCGCTTTGTAGCCCAGGCTGGCCTCAAACTCAGGGTAATAATCCTGCCTCAGTATCCTGAGTGCTGGGATTACATGCCTGTGCCACCATGCCTGACTAATAATGTCCTTCTCATATGCAAGTATGTAACAGTCATTCTCTCTTCAGGTCATTCTGTGACCCGACCCTTCTACTTTCTCTGATTTGCCTTCCTTTATTATCTCAATATTACAAGTACATCCCTCAAATCCTACTTCTACCATGTGATATTCCCTAAGTCCTTGAGCCTACATTAACCTCTAGTTTCTTGCCAGCTAAATCTGAAAACAATTATAGAACTGTTGATTATAACTCCATAGTAGTTGGCACCATGTAGTCGATTAGCAAAAACTCAACCATTGCTGCATAGGTGAAAGTTCCTAACCACATGCCTGTCATTTAATTAAATATTTGGTAAATCTAGGGAAAGAATTAGAGGTGAGGAAAATGCAGGTTCAATTTTGAAACTTTTTATAAACTTTTTAAACAATATATATCAGCCCTAGGAATACAGTGATTAAAGTGACTTGTTTACTACCTCAAACATATATTCTCATCTCTTAGAGAAAATTTATATCTAATAAAAATAATAGGTGAAACTGTCAAGAATGACTTTTTTGTACTTTAGGGAAGGATCTATAGGGTGTTCAGGGTCTCACTACAAAAATGACTTTATAGGAGAAATATTTTAATCACATTTTGAAGCATTAGTATTGATTGCCCAACAAACGAGAAAAAGGAAATTTATTCCCAAGGAAAAAACACAGAACCTAATGAGATAGGAAAGTGTGAGTCATTCTATGAAGATATTAGAGAGCTTTATATTAGTGGTTTGTCCTATATCTCATATTTAAAGCCAAATAAGGCCAGATGCCATGGTGTTTGTAAACCCAGCCACTAAGGCAGAAAATCATGTATTCAAGACTAGCCCCAGCAATTTAGCAAGATGCTGCTTAAAAAAAAAAAAAAAAAAAAAAAAGCCACATAATTAGAGGGTCTGATTGATTGATTGATTTGGTACAGGGTCTCACTTTACCTAAGCTCAGACTTGGTCTGTCTCAGCCTCCCCAGAGCTGGGATTACAGGTGTGCACCACTACACCCAGTTTCGGTGGCCAGCTTGGTGCATCCAGAGTTATAGTGATCAAACTTGGGTCCTTGCATTTGCCAGGCAGGCAGCAAGCCCTTAGATCACCAGGCTATCTTCCCAGTCTAGAGTCAGATTTATTACAAAGGTTAAATAATGTCAGTCACACTTCCCTAGTCATAGAATGAGTTGAAATAGACATTCCTTAAAGTCCCATGAAGGAGTAAGTCAGTGATTTACTAATTACAGAACAGAATGGTGCTATAAGGTAATTTTGAAACCAAATATGGATTCTGTGACTATTAAATGAAATTGAAGATTTGGGTATAATGACTAACATTTATGCTAGGCCATGTGCTCCACAATTTCTGTGTTTCTCATTTATCATGACAATTCATGTGAGATACCTCAATTTAAGAGTCAGCTGAAACGAAGTCCTTCATCCAGGGTCTCCCAGCTATTCAGGTGGCAAAGGGAGTATTTGAAACTGTGTACCTCTGTCTGAAATATTTTCAGTACTAATTTGATGAAAGTTAATATTCCACTGGCAGCTGTAGAAGCACTCTTCTGGTTCTTCCTGGTACTGGTTCTGTGCTCTTCTGATCTGCTCATTAGGGAACAGATTTTGTCTAGTAAAGTTGGTTTATTTCTTACTTTTTGAATCTTTTTTGCACTGAAGTAAATTTAAGTAAACTGAAGATACAGAAAATGGTTTAGAAGAAAACCTTTTGAGACTACACTTCGGCTATCTGTAAAGGTATGCATGTACTCTCAGGCTGTGGACATCTATTACGTAAAATACTGGTTTTTCCATTAACATTAGATGGATAAGACATATTTTTGCTTTCATATTGAGGGATAATACATGTTCTTTATAGAAAAATCTAGAAATTACATAAATTCACAGACAAAATTAGAATATAGATTCACTATAAATTGTTTCAAGACATTTTTAAATAAACAATACTGAATTCCCCTTCATGTTCACACACATAAATAAATCCCATTTTCTGCTCACAATAGTGAGTGATTAGTCTCATTTCTGCTGATTATGGTGGCGTACGCCTGTATTCACAGCACTCAGGGAGGCTGAGGCAGGAGGGTCATTGCGGGTTCAAGATCAGCCTGGGCTACGAAGTGAAGTCAAGGCCAGCCTGAACTGCATAGTGAGACCTTGTCTCTAAAACACACACACAAAAAAAATAATAAAATAAAAAAAATAAAAATAATCTCATTTCAAAATTGTGTTTATGGGCCAGGGAGATGGCTCAGTAGAACAAGCACTTGCCTGGCAAGTGCAAGGGCCTGAGTTCAATCCTCGGTTCCGCAAAAAAAAAAAAAAAAAAAAAAGGTGTTTATTAGCAGATATCAATGGTAACATTTGCGCAGGGCAGTTTGAACACTAGCATGATTATGTGCTGACTAGATCTGAACAAGTTCAATAGGCCAACTGAGGAAACCTAGAAGTTAGCTTTGCGGAGAGGATCAGGGACTTGACCTAGTTAGGGAACACAGGAAGCCCGGCCAGGTAGGCGACATGGATGGTGCTCCGGAGGGCACAGTACAGTGTTTAGAGAGAAGTGGTCATCTGGACAGGACGGAAGAGCTCAGTTAACAGATGATGTGGTACTCTGGAGGTGCAGGTGGAAGGGTGCCATTAGCCATCAGCAGGCACAGGTAGGTGCTGGGAGTAAGGCTTAACTTCTAGAGGTTTAGCGTATGTGCTGCAGTAGTAAGCAGGAATACAGAAACAAATCAGGAACTCCGAAAGGGAGACATGAAATTTGAAAGGGTGGTTTGTAAATGACAAAGGTAAAAACACAGTTTTTTGGGTAGGATTCTAAGGTTAGAGAGGAGCTACTAGAATGAATCTAATTTGGGATCAGCTGAGCTGCTAAATTACATAAATGAGTAAAACAGTCTCATTCATGGGGAGTTTGTAACATAGTGAAGAGGCAAACAGATACAACAAATTATGTGGTGAGTTGGTAGATAATGAGCTAGAGATTAAAGAATGAGGGGGCTTATAATTTTTAAACAGTGAAAACTTAGGAGGTAAGGGAATGAACCAAAAAGACATACTTTTTCGAGGGAAGTACATTCCAGGTAAAGGAAACAACCAGTGTTAAGGTGCTGGTAAGAGACTTTTTTATGATTAAAAAGAGAAAAATGTGTATAAAAAGAATTTGGGGGCCTAGGAAAGGGATACAGGAATTAAACTCAAGACCTCACACTTGGCAGGCAGGCACTGGTCCCCTGAGCTACCCAGCCCCCAGAGAAATTGATGAAGCTAGAAACATATTGTGTTTTACCAAATATTTTTCAGATTGAGCTTACAAGTCCTTATCAGAAAATGAATCTCATCATATAGAGTTAATTATCCATTATGTAATTGAAGATACTGTTTCATTAGAACAAGCTGTAAGCTCAATTGCCAAGTACATGAAGGAAAAAAACATTCAGAAAGACAATGACAAGACATAAATAGAATCAAAGCACGGATACACATTTGTTCTATTAATATTTCTTAGACTGTAGTCCTATTTTATTATTTGTTTTTGAGACTTAGTATGAAATGAGTCTGAGTTTTAATTCTTTCTTTCTTTTTTTGTTTGAGACAGGATCTCACAGTGTAGTTCAGGCTGGCTTTGAACTCACTTATGTAGCCAGGCTGGCCTCAAACTCATGGTGATGCTCCTGCCTGAGCCTCTTGAGTGCTGGCATTACAGGCACGTGCCACCACACCTGGCTTAATTACTCTTAGTGAATGTAGAAAGAGGCTCTACAGTATAAGAATAATCTGAAATTAATCTTAACCTAAATTTATGCTGTTAAGAGAAAATTATATTGAGTATCAATTTTGACAACCGTACACATAATCTAATTGGCTAAAGTTTTTTCCCTTTTTGGAGTTGAGCACTTTTCCATAAATGGTAGTAGTTATTTCCTTTTTAATTCCCCAATTTATGTCTGTCTTTGTACATTTTTTTTAAGTCTTGGTATTTTCACAGTTTAGGTCTATAGTTGATAGGGAATATATCATCTTTTTTTTTTTTACCCAAGGCTTTTAAAGAAACAGTTTTTTCACCGAGCACTTAAAGTAATGAAAATGAAGTATGACAAAGATATAAAGAAAGAAAAAGATAAAGGAAAAGCTGAAAGTGGAAAAGAAGAAGATAAAAAGAGCAAGAAAGAAAATATAAAGGAAGAAAAGACAAAAAAGGAAAAAGAAAAAAAAAAAGATGGTGAAAAAGAAGACTCCAAAAAGGTAAGTTCAAATAAAATTAGGTAAAAATAAATCATTGTGTGTACATAATATCTACTGGCATATGAGCATATTAAAATATTAATCCACAGATAATTGAGCTAACCATATTAAAATTATTATAAATATGGTGAGAAATTTTTGTGTTACAATCAATGAAAGCTTTTTGTTATATGAATGTCATGATTTTTTATTTATTTTATTTTTTTTTTGGTTTTTGGTTTTTTTTCTTACAGTAGTAGCCTTTCATTTATTCTTTTGTGTTCAGCAGCAAAATATTTCCATCAGCATACTCTATAAATGGACTTCTCTTCCACCCTATGGGTCATGATTCCACCTGAGTCTACAGGGTGAATTTCAAAGAATTAGCTGTAGCTCAGTCCCACAAGAGACACCTGGCCACCAGTAACTGTCATGGTCATTATGCATGTCCATGACACACTAGAACTTTGTGCAATATCAAACTGCTAGAAGTGCTGATCATTTATTTGCCATTCCAGTATTTATCTTACGTTTTACTCTTTTTTTCCCCATAATTTTATTAAGAAACAAATAGCAATGAGACAGTTTAAAACCAAATTGGTAGGACAGTTTCAATAATTAACACATTGCATACATTCTTCCTAGTGGTTAATTGCTATACAAGATGCAGACATGATGTCCTATTTACAAACACTAATAGAACAAATCCCTCGATTCATTAAGAGACTGTAACTATATGTCTATCTTAACCATTTGGAATACACAGATACAAAATGGACATTCATCTGTATCCCCTTTTTTTGTTTAGTTCCGTTATTTGAATATTATAGATGTGTCATGATTGTTTTTGCTTGCTTGTGCTATTTCTATTTAACTTGTGTTTTCATAGGAAGAAACTCCTGGAACTCCCAAAAAGAAGGAAACTAAGAAAAAATTCAAACTTGAACCACACGATGACCAAGTTTTTCTAGATGGCAATGAGGTGACAGTATTTACCCTGTGATTAGAAATAGTTTTTCATGGAAATTTTTAGAAATATGTTTGATGCCTTCACTAAGAAAAGAAAAAAATTGCAATAGATCTAGTCATGCACTTAAAGTATATAAAAAAGTTAAATATTTTTAAAAATTAATTGATCTAAATTTAGATTCATAAAAGACTGACTTTATGATAGAAATCCTGAAAATTGTGGCTTAGTACAAAGTAGATCCTTATTTCTTTTCAGTGTAATCTAAGGATAAGCATTATGATGGGCCCAAACTCCTGTTTTCTCTGTGGGATGTTTCTAAATAAGGTTGCTTTGTGGTCCAAAATGGTCACCAATCTTATGTGTATACCCAGAAGAGGGAAGGACACTATGGAATGTGCCTCTTAACAACTTTTCTTTTAAGGACAGTGTCTTGGGAGATGGTGATTTCATCTCTGCTTCAGTTCCATACTGCGTGGTTATTTGCTCAATGAAACTTCAGAGTCTCTATATTCTAAAAAGGCAGGAACGGCGATGCAGGCCTTTAATCCCAGCACTCAGGAGACTGAGGCAAGAGGATTGCCCTGAGTTTGAGGCCAACCTGAACTACATGGCAAGAGCCTGTCTCAAACTAAATACCAAGTTGGTTAATGGGTACACCTTCTGATCTCTGCTCATATGTGATCTATAGTCAGACATACCCACTTGAGGGTCCTAAAATTTTCAACACTAGGAGTTTATGGTAGCAGCCTTCAGTGAACCAGTATAAAAACATTAGCTATACACTGGCCATTTAACTATTGTGCATTTTAAGATATGGTTTTTTTCTTGGTATATTTATACTAGAGTAAAATAAATACATATATAAAATTGTGGCTCCTTGTGTGTTTGAAATTCTGTAAAAGGTTTTTTTTTTTAAATAAGTGTTTTAGGTTAGAAAGCTTGGATAAAAATCTCAAGCACAGGGGCAGGATTGAGAGGTTGGTTTTTTTGTTCTTATTTCCTTCTTTTGGCAATAATACTGTGTAGTATAGGCAGGCCTGGAACTCTCAGAGGTCTGTCTCAGCATCCTTAGTGCTGGTATTACAGGCATACGTTACTATGCCTAGCCGGAGAGGTATTTTTATATGAAGTGTCCGCAAGTGATTCTAATGGTTAAGAACACTGTAAGAGAAGACTATATGTATTTCCCAAGATAAGAACTGAGGTGCCTTCAGTTAAGCATTGAGCAAGAATCAGATGTACAGTAGACATTTTTATAAGCTGCTGGGAATAGCATGGTAAATACCAGCAAAATTCTCTGTAAGGAGATACAGTCTATTAAAGATGCAAGCATTTAAACATGTTACTGTAACTACCGTGTGTTATTATTGAAATTATGTGAGTACACCACTTAGAAGTTAATTTAATCAGTAAGGACAGGGGAGGCCTAAAGGTTCTGGACATGTAAGCTGGGCTTTGAACATGGCTGGATAGCAGAATGCCTAGCGTACCACAGAGGAGTTACATGGACGTTAAGGAAGCATTGCAAGCAGGCATAGGGGTTCGATCCCCAGCCCTGGTGTGGTGGCGCGTGCCTGTAATCCTAGCTCTTGGGAGGCAAACAGGCGGGTCACTATGAATCTGATCTAGTAGTGAGACCCTGAACACCCTGTAGACCCTTCCCTAAGACACAAAAAAATTTAAAAAAATAAGGAAGCAGGCTGAGCAAATGCTGCATGTATGGTTGATGTCCTGAAAAGGTTAGCTTTCATTCTGTGGAAAGCTCCAAGAACCCCAAGGCTTTCAAAGTTTAGAAATGTCCTTTTCAAGGTTTATTTTGGAATGTTAACTGTTAGGAGAAATGTCTGTGGAACTGATTCCCAGGAAGAATGTACAGAGTAAAATAGTGATTGCTATAGAACCCAGGTGTTAAAGAACAAAGTCAGAAACAATAAAGAGTCATAGTAAAAATACAGCTACAAAATGAAAAGTACTGTTATTTATGGGAACTAAAGAAAAGAGTATAATGGATGATGAGTGAGTATAGTTTTAATCTGAATGCTGAAAAAATTATTTATATAAAAATAACCTGCTAAAAGCAACTTAAGCTTTGAAACAGTAGTTCTTTCTTTGTAGGTTACAAGCCCTGTATGGAGAGGGCAAAATAATTAATATAGGGAGTCATAGAATCTTTATATTCACCAAATACAATGTTTAATAAAGGCTCTTCATGTATCGTCAGTAAGAGAAAAAAGGGTAAATTTTAGAGCTGTGCCCTGCCTGGAATATATTTTAATTATTTTCTTAGCTGGTTCATCATTAGGGACAAAAAGATTGGTGATTATTTGTTGTTACATTGAATAAATAGTGATTTACACATGAACAGATTGTTGAATATATATACAGATGTGCTTAAGTGTGCTGTAGAATGTGATTTTCTAGCTGAGTAGAAGCCCTTCCTGTACTGAAAGGGAAGGGTCTTTGAATTTAGTTACATTAGAGATTAAGTTCTTGTATGTTAAGAAGTTGATGACTGCTTTAGAGGACCTAAAATACAGAATTAAACTGTTTACTTTCTGATGTGACCTTAGAACATATAAACACTGAGATTCTTTGATTCTTGCAGGTTTATGTGTGGATCTATGACCCAGTTCACATTAAAACTTTTGTCATGGGATTAATTCTTGGTAAGTAGCACATGTAAGTACAATTTAAAAAATGTAGCACCACAAAGGAAAATATTTCTAAATTTAACAGAATAATTACTGCTTAAAGAGTATACTCTAAAATCAGAAGATAAATGTTAAAGATATTTACAACACAGTAAAATGAAGATTTAAGAAATTAAAAGCTTAGCAGTTAGGTAGAAAAATGGTAAAGGTAACTCATAGACATTGAAATACAGTGACCAATCATAAATAATACTTTCAATAAATATACAGAGAAGCACTAGTGATTACGAGGATTACAGAGCTTGACAGTAAAGGTTTTAGAAAAACCAGCATTTTCTATAATTGGTAGATATCTACTGCTTCAGTTTTAAGGAGAGCAGTTTGATAGTATCTTTGAAATATTATTTTATTTAATTTTTTTATTTTTCAGGGAGGGGTCTACAGGGTATTCAGGGTCTCACTACTAGATCCTACTCCCAAGAGCTGGGATTATAGGTGCACGCCACCACACCCAGTCTCAATTGCTGTCTCAATGCACCCTGGGGGTGGGGCCGGCACAGCAGGCCCTGGGATCGAACCCCTGACCCCCTGCGCCTGCTTGTAGGCCCTTTAATCCATTGAGCTATTTGGCTAGCCCTATCTTTGAAATTTTAAATACCAGACTGGCATTCATAAGGCTGTGGATTCAGTCCCCAGTAGTACATTAAAAAAGGTATTTATAAGGGCTGGCCAGATAGCTCAGTGGATTAAAGCACCTGCTTATTATGTAATCATATTTACACACATTTACTTGTACAAGGATATTTGTATTAGTATTGTCTAGTATAGGGTAAAACCAAAAAGAATTGAAGTTCTTCAATAAAAGAAGGGTAAAATAAATTATAGAGTAATAGCATACTATACAGCCTTTAAAGAATGAGGGGTTGTACTAATTGAAAGGTGCCTAGAATATTAAAAGAAAGTTGCAAGAGTAAGAATTGCATTATTATACTTAAAAAAAAAAATCTGTGTAGCTAGTTTAATCATAGTAAGTCTCTGAGAATATACTGTAAGTTTAATTAGGCCTTGAGAGGTAAAATAGGAATTTGGATGAAGACTTAATCTGCACTTAATCTTACACTGCTATTCTGATATATTCTGTAGCTTTACAAACAAATACTTTTTTATTTGTTTCTGGTTTGGTTTTTTAATATAAGTGTGTATTTCTCCTAAGTTTAAGGCAGGCAGTGATGGATGGAAAAAAATGATTTAGCAAACAGAAAAAAAAAGATTAAAATAAATTTGGCCAACATAATATCATAGGATCTCAGTGCAAACAACTCTTTGGCATAGCAGTACATGCCTATAATCCTAGCTGCTGAGGAGGCTGAGACAGGAGGATTATAAATTTGAGACCGGTTTAGGCAACTTAATGTGGCTCTGTCTTAAAAATGGCTGGGGAAGTAGCTCAGTGGTAGAGCACTTGTCTAGCATATGCAAACTCCTGGTTCAATCCCTAGCATGACAAAAACTAAAGCAGAAAAGCCCAACTCTTTTAGAATGAGTTGAAACTCTGTTAAGCCCAAATAACTAATAAAAGTTACTGATTATTTACTAGTTGCTTTTCTAAGTTACATACTGTCTCATTCTCAGAACATTTAAGAAGAATAGACATTTATTAAATATAAGGTAAGAGCCTTAATAGAATGAAGTAATTTGCTCAGGCTGGCCTTGAACTCAACAGCAATCCTCCTGCCTCAGCTTCCTGAGTGCTGGGATTACAGGCCTATGCAACCATGCTTCAGTAACAGTTTTGAATTTTTGGGCAGCATTTTTTTCTAATTAAATGTGGTTTAAATTAAAAATTGTCTAAGAAGAAGGTAAAGTATTAAGTTGAATAATGATACCCATAAACTACCCATAATTTACTGCTTTTTATTTTTAAAAATTGTGATTTTTATATTTATTTGTTTTGGAGTTTGTCCCCCTAAGTCTGTGTTTATTATTTTAATTTACATTTTTATTTTAAGTTACCTGTAACATCATTTCTTGTTCCAGTGATTGCAGTAATAGCAGCCACCCTCTTCCCGCTTTGGCCAACAGAAATGAGAGTGGGTGTTTATTACCTCAGTGTGGGTGCAGGCTGCTTTGTAGCCAGCATTCTTCTCCTTGCTGTTGGTAAGTATTATTAATAAAACTAACCTGGTAAGGTAAATATGAAGCAGTTGGCCTATAATTTGGAGCTTCACAAAAGCTGAATAGCAAAATTAATGTGGCCATATCAATAAATATCATCCTATATTCTTTGTCAAATCCCAAAACTTGAGTCAGATTTGGATTGGTTCTAATGTGAGGAAAAGGGGTTTACTATATCTTTTCTTACAGTTTTTTTATTAATACTACATTTGATTTGTAAGTAATTGCATCCATTATAGGGTACACTGCTATTCTGATATGTGTACAGTGTGGAATGATTTAAACTAATGTATCCATCACCTTGTTTATCGTTTTTTATACTGAGACATTGAAATTTCTCATCTTGGTTACTTCAAAATAATGTTATTAAATCTGCAAATAGAGGTACTTTAAAAATTAGCTCTAGCAAAGATTTTTTTTTGCAATTATTAGTCATTAAGTATATTTTCAGTAAATTAATTTTTATATTTTTAGGTAAGGTAAATGCAACTTATATTAAATGTTTAAATTATGTGTAAGTGGGGCAGGGGAGATGGCTCAATGGAATAAGTGTTTCCCTGGCAAGCACAAGGGCCTGAGTTCAATCCCCAGTTCCACCAAATAAATAAATAAAGTATGTTTAGAGAATGGTTCTAAGCAATTTGTCACTTCAAGAAAAATTAGTAATTTTTATTCAGGTTAAATTCTAGATATGTTAAGGAATTAAGTTTTAAAAATCAAACAGGAAAACAAATGGTTTGGGTTTTTTGTTTTTTGTTTTACATTTCTGGATGACTGAAATCCTCACTAACAAACAATATAAGCAACAACAACAAAAAAAGGCTAATAGATATGAATCATGTAAGAATTAAGAAAAAAGCTTTTCACTTCAAAAACAGATCAAGCAACAAACAACCAGGACAGACAAAAGATGAAAATTCTCACATACTCCTCTACCAGTTCATGAGAGGATTTGGAATATTAAATAGTAGAGGATGTGACCAATCTTTGATCCTTCACAAGGAGAATAAAAGATAACAAATATATACACATGTTCATCACTATTTAACAGTAAATGAAGTGAGAAATTTTGGGCCTATTTAATAAGATTTTTAAATTTTGTTTGTTTATTTATTTTGTCTTTTTGAAACCGGGTTTCACTACACAGTTGATTCTGGATGACTGAAATGAGTTCCCTTTGTAGCCCTGGCAGGCCTCAAACGTGCAGCAGTCCTCCTGAGTGCTAGGATTACAGGCATGCCCCACCATACCTGGCAATTTTGTTTGATGTTAACATCAAAAGATTTAACTGGTGGAAAGAGAGGTACCCAAATATAGTGGTGACTGTTACGGTTTTAATTTTTTTAGTTATATGTGTCTATATTTTTCCACAGAGTATTTTGCTTAAAATTCTAGTCTTTGAAGATTTTGTCTTTAAAGGCCAGACAACCGTTATTTAATTTTTCACTTTGGGAAAGACATGAGTTTTTCTCAGTTTTAGAGCTGCCTAGGGTTAGTTGTATTGAATTCTTTGGTCTGTTCAGCTTATATTATTAGGTGGTATGAAGTTTGACTATTTTTCCCAAATGGCAAATCAACTTTTCTGCCAGTTCTGAAGAATACTTACAGAAGGAAAAACAATATCTGCATTATTAACCTAATATCTATTGTTAGAGGACATAATTTGACTAGGATTATCTGAACTGGGTACACGCTATTCTAAGAATCTGTGATATGTCATATATACTGCATTACTCCATAGTTTGGAGCAGTCTCTCTCTGTATGTCTCTTCACGCTGACAGCAGGGCACTCTATCCATGGACCCAGGAGCCTGTCTAATATCTTTTTCAGTCATCATGTCATGGACCTCCTTTTTTTTTTTCTCTCTCTCTGTGATCTATAACTCTTGGGTGAGACCTCACCTACCTTTCTTTCTTTCCTTTTTTCTTTCTTTTTTTTCTGTTTTGTAGCTCAGTTACCTTGGGAAAATCTACTAGTTCTGCAGGGGACACAAGCATAATCATAGGCCAAGAATGATTATCTAAGGCTGTTAAACAAGTAGCTAGTATTGATGTTAATCAACAAGAAAAGCTGTAAACTTTAATCTGATAGATATAAAAGTAGTGGCTCTCAAACCATTGAAATTCAGAAACTCCTTGAAAATCTTCACTAGAAGTTTAGTTCTTTTTTTTTAAATTGAGACAGTCTTACTATGTAGTGTAAGTTGACCTTGAACTCTACTTGTGTAGCCCAGGCTGGCCTTGAACTTCTGCCTCAGTCTCCCAAGTGCTGGGATTACAGGTGTGCACCACCATGACCTGTGAGGTTTAGTCTTGTTGAACAGCATTGTTCTACATGCTTCTCTTTTAATTAAGCCAGTTGTAAGAACAAAATATGACTATTATATTCTTTTGCTTTTTAAAATAATTTCTTCAGTGGTTCTTAAAATATTTTAAATTCCTATGAATTTAAATATACATTGTGCATCAGTCTTGTAAATTAAAGTAGGAAGCAAACCCATTATGTCATGTTGATTCTGTTAGAAAACACAACCCCATATATTCTTTAAAATATAGTGATTTAAATTTGTAGCCACTTATACATTGGTTATTATTTTTATATTGTATGAAGTATAAATTCTAAATATTTGTTATTGACAGTACATGTCATAGATTTTTATGATTCTTCCCATTTTGCTCCTGTCAATACAATACCACCGGGAGAAAATTAAAGCATGTTACAATTCTGCTATGCCCAGTTCCTATGTGATAAAAAAAATCAATTTTTGCATCATTTCTATATTGCTTTTATTTTTTTGATTCAAGATTTTATTACTTTGAAACATCTGTCTTACAACCCTATAAAACCTTTGAGATTATAATGTCAGGCATGGTGGTGCACACTTGTAATCCTAGCACTCAGGAGCTGAAGCAGGAGGATTGCTACAGGCTTAATGCCAGTCTGGGCTCCATAGCAATCTCAACCACATAATGAGAGCCTGTATTTAAAAAGAAGAAAAAAGGAAAAACGTAATGCAATAATAAAAAGATCCTGTCTCAAAAAAACTGACAAATACTTTAAAAGATAGAAAATTTAAAAATATATAGCATCATAAGCGTTTGGAAAGAAAGTACAGCCTCATTAAATGTTGATTTATTATCGCAGTAACATTCTGAAACCATAATTTCAAACATAATTCACCTTTTCTATTTGTATCAAAAGATTGTAACTTATTTTTTATTACTATAAATTGTTAAATTCATGTTTCATTATCCCACAGGTTTGTGATGTTATTCTTAAAAAGTAACCTCATAGCCCATTCATGTTTAACCCACTCACAGTGGGGCCTTACGTGTATGACTGTCCCGTGCCAGTGCTTAATGGGGCAGTCCTACATATTCCATTGGTGGTTGGATCCACCTCTAAGCGAAACATGAATGTGTTAAGTAATCTTGCTTCTGTTAGCATTGGTGATTAAACCTAAGGCCTTCTTGCTGAGCTCCATCCTCATCTCTATTTAAAATGTTTTTGAGACAAGGTCTCACTAAGTAAGGTGCACAGGCTGGGGTTCATTTGTGATCCTCCTGCTTCAGCCTCCAGGACGTTAGGAGTCCAGGTGTGTACTGTTGTATTTATGGCTTGTATTCTTAGTATTGAAAGAGCTGATTTTAAATAAAAATTAAGTAATTTACTTATAAAAAGGACTAGAAGATAGAAACTTGCTAATGCTAGTATTGTTTATCCAAGGCTGACCTAGCCTTCAGGTAGAATAAAAGTGTATACTGTGAGCTCATGATATATGTAGGGACCCACAGAAGTGTTTCATTCTTTTAAAATCAACAATATTAATTATATATATTTTAAGTAATATGCAGTATTATATTTGCATCTATCCCATAATACAAAGTGTAATTTTAGTATATAGAGGATGTGTCCCATAGAAACAAAAGTATCTAGTGCCTAGGAAAGTCATGATGCAGCACTGCTTTCTGTTTCTAAAGGCTTCATTCTATGTTCTTTATCAATTACTCAACGTTTTTCTTCTTGTCTTACACCATGACCTCATGAATGCTCACCAGCTGCTATGTTTATTGGCATCCTGTGACCTTATAAAGTACATAAATCCTGTCTGAAACCGTGTACAGAGTATACTGCTCTTAGCACGTGCATGCTATATATATATATATATA